GTTTTGTGCTAATATTTTTTTGCCGGAACGCCGGAACATTTAATAAAAATTGGTTGAATAATAACTTATAAAATTTACTTATTAAATCATTTTCTGTATGTAGCGATGTTTTTATATTTTTTCTTGCCGGAACGACGTTCCGGCGCGTTCCGGCTCGACAACACCACTGTATATATATATATATATATATATATATATATATATATAAATATGTTAGAGAAGTTAGTTTTGATGTTGAGAAATATGAGTAAGTTCTTCAAGGGCATACATCAAATAAAAGGCAAAGATTTAGAAGTTAATCTTTAATTTTTCCATTTTGGAAAAATTAAAGAACTTACTCATATATATATATATATATATATATATATATACTCATTCAATAGAAAAAATAAACTTTTATAACAAATTCTTTATAATCAAACTATATCTACATATTCTATAGAAAAAATAAAATTTTGTAACATTTTTTTAATGAAAACCTATTATTAACATCAAACAATATTAATGTGATGAATGTGATTGTTTATTTCACACAAATAATTAAATTTAGGCTCAATTTAAGTTAGTGCAGATCGTAATAAATTTTCAACGTATATTAAAGTTGAACGATTTTATGTAAGGTAATGTAGAAGAGGCTGATTCACATAAATATGTTGCTCAAAATGACAGTAATTTGTTTATTGCCATTTCCGATAGTAGGGAAAGTTTTCTGATTTGATTTCAATCTAAAATTCATGCACAGACACTTGAAAAAATCTGAGTCGCAAGGTAGTATCACTTGTTAATTCGGTAAATTCTTTTTGCGCTTTTAAGTTTGAAAAATTAATTTCTTCCATTTCAATTGAAAATGGATTGCAAATCCATTGTTGTGTATCGATATTATTGAGAAAATACCTATGCATGTAAACTTCCATATTCTTCAAATGATTAACTATAATTTTTGTTATAGGAGTATCCTTTTTTGAAATATTGTTACTAATTATATACTCGTCAGTAAATACAAAACATTTCGAGCGATCCACTTTCAACTCTGTTTTTCCATATAAGAATTATTTTAACAAAGGCCTCAAGTTTTTTTTTAACATAAACATATTAACGCAGACTCCCTGCATTGATAAATTCATATCATTGATTTTATCAAAAATATTGGCCAAATAGCATAGCTTGAGAAGCCATAAATTATCGTGAAAATAGTCGGTCTAATAATACTAATTTTATTTTAAAATTTTGTTTATAATGATTGAAAACTATCAGATCTATGCGACCCCTTTTTAGCAGTCCCGCGACCCCCCTGTGGGTCGCGACCCCCACTTTAAGAAGCCCTGGTCTACTGTATGCCGAGACAATGTGTTCTGAACGGACGCGTCCAAAGAGATCCGGATCAAGTACTGCCAACTCCACCATAGAACAAGGATTTCCTATATGTTAAAACCGCTAGTTACGCCGTTCACTGTTGCGTTGGCGCGCATTTGAAACGCATCATTACGGAATATTCAGTAACTACTGATCATAGATAAATAAGCATCTGATGAAGAAGCTACTGACAATAAGATATAAACTACTTGTTAAACAATAAATTATTGTTAATTTAATTAATTGTAATTATTGTTAATCAAATGTAAATATTTAAAGTAATTGTTAATTACTTAGCAGTTGAATATTTCATTTTTTTCCTCATAGAATTGTTATTTATTGCATATTATCATTTGTCAGCATATGCGGGAGGTGGGGCCGCAAAAAAATCTGCTGCGGGACGCGAGTTTGACACCCATGATTTAGACCAGTGATTCCCAAACTTATTTCACCTACCGCCCCCTTTCCAGAAAAAATGTTACTCAGCGCCCCCCTTACAAACTTTCCGAAGGAGAAGTTTGTTTTCATCAAAAAAATCCGCTAATTTTATGTTTTCTCGACGTTTCAAGCCATTCTGAATCAAATGAGACCAACATTTGGAAAAAGTATGTGTGTGTGTGCGTGAACAGATTTTTTTGCCGTAAATCGACGTTTTCTCAAAAACGACTGGACCGATTTCAAAAATCTAAAAGCCATTCGATGTATCTCGATGAGGACTATTGTTTGTCAGTTTTGTGCGACGATCGGCCACGCCGCTTCTTTATAAATAGCAGAAAAATGAAAAAAATTTCGTATACGTTTTAGCCCGCAATTCTAAATCTATTTTAAAAATTCAAAAACCGTTCGAAAGATATTGGTTGGGAATCGACCTGATTAGTTCTTGGTAATGATCGGCCAAGCCGTTTTCTTGTAATAAAGTGTTTTTTTTTAATTTAAGCAGTAGTAATTAATAAGTAGTAGTAATTTTTTGGACAATTTATATTTTTTTTGGCGGTAGATACCACAGTCTTATAGATCATACTAAAATATTACGGTCCTACGACAAGTCGTTAAATTTTGAAAATTCGTCAAAGTTTGCAAAAAGTAGTATCGTTTTTATGGCGTTTGTCAAAATTAGAATTTTCAGCGATGCTTGAAAGCGCATAAACCGATTTTAAAATTTTAAAAGCCAATCGATGTATTTCGATTATAATTTTAATGTGAGGGAAGAGGAATGACGGGGGGTTTGCTCGTACCTACGGTAAATTTGTTTGCAAAAAGTCATAAAGGGAATCGCGTTAAAATTCAAGCAATAGCGGATTTAGACTCGGAAATTAATACAATATCAAAATCGCTATTCCAAAAATTACGCGTTAAATCTCAATCCAGGAGCCTTAAGCTCCACGGTGTTGTTGGAATTTCAACGAAATCGAATAATTTTACAAATTTAGAAATATTTAATGAAGATGGTACATTTGCAAAAAATAAAAAAATATAAATGCCTTTGTGCTTACGAAAATATTGAGTCTACTACCCGCGCAGCAAATCCAAATTGCTGAACCAAATCTTCCTAATGGATTAAAACTTTTGGATTCACACTTAAATATTCCGCAGCGAAGTAAATATGTTGATAGGTGTTGATACGTTTTTTGAAATTTTAGGTAACGAAAGAATTATACTAGGACCCGATAAATCTATTTTACAAAACGCGGGTGGACAGTTACGGGTAGATATCAAAGAAATATAATCAATAGCACGACAAATAATCCGCCAACTTTACAGATTCTCTTACAAAAAATCTCTTAAAGAATCCCTTACCAAATTTGGTAAAGTTACACGCTTTGAAAAGTTATATAAATTATCGACATACAAAGAAACATATGAACCATTCTTTTCATTAAACCTTTTGCGAAACAAGAATTGGCAGTGCATAGTTTTAAAAATTATTTACTTGCTAATACACCTATGCAAATATGGTTGATTAACTTCAATTAAAATATTATCTTTATATAATTCAGTGTTTTTTAATATAATTCAATTTTAATCATTTATTTATATATAATATTAATATTATAATATTTTTTTAGTTTTGTGCTTCAAACGCCCTTTACAACTAAGCATCGCTCCTAAATACACCAAAGCCCATCACCGCCCCCCAGAATCGCCGCAGCGCCCCCAAGGGGGCGCTGGCGCCCACTTTTGGAATCACTGATTTAGACCAATACTTAGTAGTTTTCTTACATCATCTACAACAACACATTTTGAATTAATGCTATTCACATCTCCATTCGATAAGTAAAATGCAAAAGATGATGCACCCAGTGATGTTTTATGCTTTTAACAACAGTCCGATCTTTTGCGATATGTAGGCAAACAACAGTCCGATCTTTTGCGATTTGTAGGCAAACAACGGCCTAATAATTAATAATTAGTAATTTAATAATAGTTAATAATTTTCACTTCCAAACATACAACTTATCGATTTCATCTGGCAATCATAAACAATAAAAAAAGTGTGTTTCTAAACACGATCGTCAAATTAAAAGTGTGCGGCCAACGTGTACAAAAAAGTACAAGGACGAGCTCTTGTATTTAATGTTGCTGGGGGAAAAGAAAAAATTTTCATTCTATTTTAGTCTTGCTTGTAACTTCTACCTCAATGTTTTTTTTGTGTATTTATTTTTCGTATTTCCTTTCTCAATACATTTATAGTATAAATATAACTATAAGTATAACTATGTGGTATATATGAAAATGACTACTAAAATACATATTATGAAATAGGAAAGTGAACATTTGGAGTTGTATGTAGTTTTTCAGCGACTTTTCTTTTGTGAACTTTTTCATTTTAATTAATTTAAGTAATAAAAAGAATTTGACATAATTTTCTTTGCGTTATTTTCAAAAGCGGAAAATACTTAGGAAATTTTCCATAATTACTGTTTTTTTATCTGTATTATTTTGCATACTGAAAGAAAATAAATATGTTGAGACGCCTCCATTGAGTAACTATCCGTGAAGAATGGCAGACAGTGATTAGCTACCCATACACTAGCGTTCTTTCATGCAGTTCTTTCCGTTGACGGTTTTTCCTGTCAGATTACCAAAGGGAAAAAAATCTGTTGATCACCCACTAACACAAACTGTTTCCTACCATCTTTCTTGTCGTATTTTCCTGTTAGACTTGTCATCTCACATTCATGAGGAAAATAATCCTGTTACAGCACACTAACGTAAAATATATTTTCTGCAATCTTTCTTCCTAAAAGTGGATCTGTACGGAAAGCATGTTGGTTAGTGTGTAAATTTATCATTTTTAGACACATCTATCCTGACGATCGATCACTTTACTTTTGACAAAAGGATTTTGCTAATTGTGAAACGATAAATTTACAGAGTGTATAGTGCTGAGTACTAGTGCGGTTATATAAAAAAATATTAAATAATTTTCTATTTTGCATTATTATTATTTATGGAAAGAAGACGAAGAATTATTGCTATCACATGTGCTGGGTTAGTAAGTGAAGGCTTCGTTTTTAAGCAACAAAGAAAAAAGAAAAGACGTGCCTGGTCCAAAACATGGTTACTGCAACGAGCGAAATACGGCGATATGAAGCTTTTGAAAGAACTAAAAAGAAATGAACCCGACGATTTTAAAAATAACCTAAGGATGAGTGCAGACGTGTTTGACAAGTTGTTGAAATTAGTTGGCCCATATATACAAAAACAAAATACTCAAATGAGAGATAGTATACCAGCAGAAGAGCGACTTATTGTAACGTTAAGATTCTTAGCTACTGGAAGAAGCTACGAATGTTTAAAATTCAGTAGTGGCATTTCTCCGCAATCATTAGGTCGCATAATTCCCGAAACATGTAGAGTCATCTATGAAGTTCTGCAAAAGGAATATATGAAAGTAAGTACAATACCTTGTGCAAAAAGTCCTCTCTTTATTTTAACAAATACAAATAAACTAAAAAACTCATCCTAATTATAACAAGAAAACGTAAAAAAATTATATAATTGTTATTCACGACCTGCTGAGGAAAAATAAGCTCGCAAACCTTCCATAGGGCTAACATTTTCAGCAGGAGTAGATTCCGCTGTGGAATAATTGTTTGATAGGGAAGGAGACGGAAAGGAATTAGACGCTAATGAGGAATGGGCCGAGGACCCTGGCGACACATGAGAAAAATTATTAGAAGGATAAAGTCCTACATTACTGTAGGTTACATCTACGAATTCATTCAATTGACCCATTATTGCCTTATTAAGTACTTTAGTTAGCAATGCTTCAGCATACATCTTTTGTTCTGGGTTTACGACTTTTTCCAATTTTGCACTTATGTATTGACCCAGGGCATCATTTTCTGTTGGTTTGGAGTTTAGTGCCTCAGTACACTTTGCAAGAAATAATTTCCGCTTCCTGTCTTCACAGATTTTTTTGTTTTGTGCAGGGCTATGACCGTCTGCATTCCTATATCTCTTGTTGTTGGTGTTAATATTAGTATTAACCACTGACTCTGCATTATGTGCTATTCCCTAAAAAATATTTATATGTTACATACTTCGAAGATAAGTTTTTACTTTTTTAACACATATAACTTTATTTTTAGTTTCCTACTACTACAGCAGAATGGAAGAAGATTGCGGAAGATTTTGATACCCGTTGGCAATTTCCTAACTGTGGCGGAGCAATGGATGGCAAACATATTAGAATCGCATGTCCGCCAAACACAGGAGCACTTTACTACAATTATAAAAAATTTTATAGCATTGTGTTGATGGCATTAGTAAATGCAAATTACGAGTTTGTTTATGCTGATGTCGGAAAAAATGGAAGAAATTCAGATGGTGGTATTTTGGAATACATTAAGTTTTATGACAAACTTATCAACGATCAGTTAAATATACCACAAACAGTAGATAACATCGAGCATCTCAACTTCGTTTTTGTGGGAGATGAGGCGTTTGCCTTGCATTCACATATTTTGAAGCCATTTAGTCAAGTGGAATTGACCTATGAAAAACGAATTTTTAATTACCGATTATCCAGGGCTAGAAATGTTGTTGAGAATGTTTTTGGAATTGTTGCTTCTCGATTCAGAGTGCTTCATACCGCAATTGCCTTGAAACCGGAAAACACAACATTAGTTATAATGGCAATTTGTGCTCTGCATAATTTTTTGCGGCGCAACAGTGCATCATATTTCAGTCAGAAAAGTGTGGACTCGGAAGATAAAAGCTCTCATGAACTACGCAAAGATGGGGATTGGCGAACTGATACTGGTGACTTTTATGGACTGCAGAATTTAACTCGTAATATGACTTTGGAGGCAAAACGCAGCCGCGATAGATACCTTCATTACTTCAACGGTGATGGTAGTGTTCTTTGGCAACATGCAATGGTGGCAAAAGGGAAAGCATAATCAAGAAATATATTGGTTTATGAGTAGAAATTTATAATAAGATTTTTCAATTACCTATCTAATTTTGTAATAAAAATGAATGATAAAATGATTGTAATGAACATACTTCGTTGGGCTCGTCTATTTCCTCCACAGGTTCTTGAAATGGGCTATTTGTTGACTCATTGATGTTGTCACAACTACTGGTTGGTAGTTCATGATCTACTAAAAACATCAATAACTTGAAATACCACAAATGTGATTTATAAAGTTCGTCAACACCTCTGCCTGATCGCTTTGACTTTTCGACCTTTAAATAATATTAAACTATTTACTATTTTGCACCCTTTTGGGACAGCTATTTATGTATAACTACGAGTATTAACAAGTGTATACTTGCCTTTTTAAATTCTTTGCGGAAGGATCCTCTAATTGATTGAATTTTTTGTTTTACTGTTTTGTGGTCAGCATGTGAATCGTACTTTCTCCAAATCTTTAGCAATTCCAAGTAGCCTTTATTTTTTAAATTACGGTTTTGGTATAGTTCTTTATTCTGTATCTGCCACAAAGCTGGATGAGCTCTATAAGTCTCAATAAATTCTTTCAAAATCCCTTTTGGGACATTTCTTATGTCACCTTTTTCACTTTTCTCTTCACAATCATCATCGTTCAGTTCGGTTACTTGAGTCAATCTCAATTCTTCCTCCATATTAATATTAATATTATTTATTTTCACAAAAAAACAATAATATTATTATTGCACAAGAACAACCCGTGTCCAACCACGCAACAAGAAAGAACAACGCGACTACATAACCTGCGCGAAAACTACGTGCCCACTAACTATGTCTTGGGCAAGAACGTCGGGACATCCCCGAAAGAAATTAGTAATGCTGGAGCGTCATGTCACGCTTCACTAACACACAAATCTTTTCTTCGGGAATCCCCTTTCCGTCAGGAATAACGGTTTTCCTAGAGGAAAGAACGCTAGTTCTAAGAACTAAGAAGTAAATAAAATACTGTCAGCATAAGATAACCAAAATTTTCTATATGAGATAAGAAATTGGCCTGCCGACCTGATCAAATAATAGCTACCCATACACGTTTCTTAGAACTAACTAAGAAATAATGTTAAAATAAAAAATAAAAGTTTTTATAAAATCGTGAGTTTTCTGAAAATAGTTTGTACTAAAGTAGTGAATCTACTAGAATCCATCAAGATGTCTATAATGAAGTGAATTCTAGATGGAATGTGAATTACTTTCATTCTGGTGGAAATGGCGCTCATTAAACCATATGATTTAAAAGAAAAAAACTTCGTATATGCCTTGTTATTTGCATAATAGCTCACTCATCTTACACGCAAAAAACTTGTAACAGCACTCATTTTAAAGCTTATGTTGAGCACTATAAAACCCAATTTCACCGAAATGCATAAAATGTAAAACCTCGACACTAGATTGCTTTAAATACAACAATTAAATCTTGAACGAAATAAAAAACGATTTTGCTCTTTCAATTCTTGCTTAATATTTTTCCTAAAACACTTTATGTAATACCGATTTATTAGGATTTTTATTGACATTATTTTGTTCATTACATGAATTTCGTTAAAATGTATAATTTAGGAGATATTTGCAAAAAGACGAAGAAAAACGCCAAAAATATATGAATCTTTAGTGGCCAGTAACTTGAAAAGTATTAGTTTTTTTGATAAACTATAGAAGACATTTTTTTATTATAATTAGCTCTTCTATCGATTTCCAACGTTATTTTAAAAAAATGTAATTACACAATTGAGAAGGGGGGTCATCCCCCCGGGGGGTGATAGCGCAACCCGAATTGTTTTCACTTTTGAATTTGAGGGTAAGATGAACCTAATTCCAAAATTTCATGAAATTCGGAGCACAGTAAAAAAATTCAGAACTAAAACGCTCCGTTTACTGCACTATATAGAAATGAAAATCTTTAACTACATTATTGTTAGGATACAAACCTATTTTTAGTTCTGTGCCAGTCAGCAGAGTTATTCGTGTCCAGGCGTTTATGCAAGAAAAAGTATTTTTTCCACATAAGTAAAAATTGACCGAATTTTTAGATTTTTTGTTTTATGTTTCCATTGTATTTCTTATATTTTTAAATGTAAAACATCACAAATTTTTATAACTCGGTCAACATTTTTCTGATTAAGTATACAACTGATTCAAATCATTGATCATAGTCCACAACTGTGAGATGCAAATAATCATACATTCGATTTCTCGATATAAAACCTCTACCATCCACGATATTTTTGTGCAAGTCCACTAAATGATTTTTCAATTTCAGTCGTTGAATGTAATTAATAAACAATTTATTTCCTGCAGGCAATTGCGATGGACATTTTGTTTTCTCCCTCTGGCAGCACAATCGCACAATTCATAATGCCTTTATAGATTTCATATGGTTTGCTTTGCTCGGTGTTATTGGTTCCTATCACTACTATTTTATTCGAATACTTGCCGTTTTTTAATAAGAACAAAACATTTCCGGTTTTATCTCGTCCAATTCCAAAATTGGCAGCATTAAAAGTTTCAAATTTGCAAAAATTTACAATAAAGAGTCTCTCTTGAGTATCACTTCGTGGTCAATTTTAGACCGTTTTAAGTTATTTTGATGTTTTTGACACCGAGTGTTATTTGACCTTGGAGTAGGGACCGTGCATTTTTTTAATCGTTGCAGAGTTTTTGGGCATAGTAAATAATTATAATAATAAATGAGCAAGTTAATTTCTAATACAAACCACCTTATAATTCCGATAATTCAATGTTTTATGTAAAGATATCTTCATCAGAATTCTGATATAAACAGGCACAAATTTCTAAATTATTATAGTAACTTACAGAATCTCGGGAAAGTCTCCACGAAATTCTAAATTATCATCTAATATACTAGATTGTCTAAGCTTATTATAATATCTTACAGAAACTCTCGGCAGCGAGATAATTGCATTCGCAAACTGAACCGCCCCAGCTTGCTTCATCGTTCTGAGACTAAAATAATGATACTGTCATAACTTATTGCTAAGTATATTTACCAATGTATTTATATAATATTATATAAATTTAACATTACCTTATCAACATAAATTTTAAGATGTATGCCCTCAATGTTTTTCAATAATTTGTCTCCCTCTTCGCTTTAATCTTCCCAGATTTTTTAGTTAAAATTTCTCCAACTACTTGGAGCTCGCAATTTGCCATAATAAATCCTTCTGAATCGTCTGAGTCTTCGATATAAATTATGTCATTAAAGGGAAAATATCTTTTTTCCTGCTGATTATGGACAGTCTCAATTTGTTTGGTTTTAAATGCCAAGTCTTGAAACCTCCTCCGACAATAAATACATGCAATTATTTTTTATTTACATTCATGCCACTGGTGCCACTTCATACGGCTGACCAGACCCGTCTCAAAATTGCACTTATTACATTTAAATGGATACTCTCCCTCGACCTTTTTTCGTTCGATAAACTTCATAAAATTTATGTAACCATTTTCATAGCTTACGGTAATGGAATCGAGATCTTTTTTCTTGGCGCTGTATAGTGCAGTTTTATTAATCTTGAAAAATGCCTCACACTCACTCTGTCACATTAGAATAATACATGATTATCTATTATGAATTATAATTATTATTATTAACCAAATAATGTAGTTACTAAATTAATTAATAAATAATAATACTCGATTATAGGTATTTCTTTTGCCCATTGTTGATATATTGTAGAAAGCTTTTTAAATATTGCTCTCGTCAAATATTTCAACTATATTGTCGGAAACACTTATTTTATCGTCGGCACACTCTACTTTCAGAGTCGAACAATATTTACGTGCTCGGCGGCGTCCTTGTTTCAAATTATCTTTTTAAAACATATTTAAATTTACTATACACCAAAGCCATATTAAAAACAAATATTTTAAAAAATAGGTAACTACTTAATTGTATAACCCACAATAATAACAGGATAGTGTTTTCAATTTTTTGGATGGACTTTTAAAATTCTCGAGCCATTCACGCATTTTCTTGTATTCGAATGGTTTAGGAAAATATGTAAAATCTTGACCTTCTTCGTGGAATAACCACGACGAGGATGATATAAGATCTACCTTTTTTTTCTCGTTCATCTACGAATTGAACATTCGTGTAAATTTTATCGGAATTAATCCAAATAATTAGAACACTTTCTTTACTAGAGGCAATATTTTTAATTTACCTGTATTATCAGTTTTGTCCGATGAATTCGTAGTATTCGGAATAGTATATGTCTCTGGAATTTAGTTGGAATCATGTAAGTACAAAATAATTAAATAATAATACTCGATTATACCTTTTTTGTCTATAGTTGGTATATTTCGGAAAGCTTTTTGAATGTAGCTCTCATCAAATATTTCAACTACATTTTTAGAAACTATCATTTTCAAATTTGAACAATATTTGCGTACTCGACGGCATCTTTGTTTTAGATCATCTTTTAGAAATATATTTAAATTACTATACATCGGAGTCACATTATAAACAAATATTTAAAAAAATAAGTAAATACTTATTTGCATAACCCACAATCTTTTTGAATTCTCGAGCCATTTTCATTGTATTCGAATGGCTTAGGAAAATATGTAAAATTTTTACCTTCTTCGTGGAATAACCACGACGATGGACGAATGAAGATGTGCTTTTGCTGCATTAAATAGTCATAATACACCAAAAAAGTATTTGTATTATAATAAAATAAACAGATTGTTATATGAGACAATACATATGAGAGTAAATTTAAAATCTTTTTGCCTAAAACCTCTAATATGGCCATTATACGAAGATATCACACACAGCATATTTCTAAAAACTTTCTTTCCGGCATTAAAAGCAATAACGGCATAAAAGTTCTACATCATATGTAACTAAATATATTACTAATTAATATAAACAAAAATTAATCATTAGGAATCTTAATATATAGTTCAATATAAGAAAGATGTTCT